AATGGGCAATGGACCTAAATAGAATATTTTCAAAAGAAGATAGAAGGAAGGCCAAAAGGCACATGAAAACATGCTCAAAGTCACTAATTGTCCGAGAGATGCAAATCAAAACAACAATGCGGTACCATCTCACACCTGTCAGAATGGCCAAAATCAACAAATCAACAAACGACAAGTGTTGGCGAGGTTGTGGAGAAAAAGGAACCCTCGTGCACTGCTGGTGGGAATGCAGACTGGTGCAACCACTGTGGAGAACAGTATGGAGCTTCCTCAAAAAACTGAAAATGGAACTCCCATTTGACCCAGTAATCCCACTCCTAGGATTATATCCCAAGAAACTAGAAACACCAATCAGAAAGGATATATGCACCCCTATGTTCATAGCAGCACAATCTACAATAGCTAGAATTTGGAAACAGCCTAGGTGCCCGTCAGCAGATGATTGGATAAAAAAAAACTATGATACAACTACACAATGGAATACTATGCTGTCATAAAAAAGAAGGAATTCGCATCATTTGCAGCAACCTGGATGGAATTGGAGGACATCATGCTGAGTGAAATAAGCCAGTCAATGAAAGAGAAACACCACATGACCTCACTCATTTATGGATAATAAAAAACAGTATAAACTGATGAACCAAAAGATAGATATAAAGACAATAAAGCAACAAGCAGTCAAATTACAGTGGGGAGGGTAGGGAGATCTGGGGGAGATAATAGATCAACCGAAGGACTTGTATACATGCATATAAGTACAACCAATGGACACAAAACTCTGGGAGGGAGGGTATGTGTGTGTGTGTAGGGGGCAATCTTAAAATATGTACACAGATAATAATTTAATTTAAAAAAATTTTAAAAAATAAACCTATAAATAAATAATTCATTCAAGGTTCAAAAAGAAAAAGAAAGTCATATCTCTGATTCAGCCTTTATATAGACACTCTTATTTTATTACTTATAATTAGTCTTCCCTGAGTACTGACTTCCCTTAAGGACATATAAGTTATATCATTACCTATTGAATACTCTACAGTAAATTAAGAATCATTATTTGAATGTTGATGTGTTATACATATCAACAAAAGGGTGATCTCTAAATCAAAGGGAGGATCATCAAAAGGGTGATCTCTAAAAAAAAGTTTTGAATAATTACTAGGCACATACATGGGGAGATTGAATAAATTAAAATATATTTTCATAAAAAAGAAAAATTAGGAAGGCCTCCTGGAGTAGGGTGAGGGGAGAAAGACAGAGAAGGAGGCCAGAAAAACTGTAAGGTTTCCTGCACTGGAGAGAGTAAGAGATGAGGTGGGAGAGGGCCTGGTAGAAACTGCAGCCTGGAATGGAGAATGGGGAGGTGGTGATATCATTGCTCCTGGAGACCTTGGACATGAGGACAGTGGATGCTGGAAGATGCAGGGTCTACAAAAAGATGACAGAGCCCCAGTCTCTAGTGAATCGGGTGCTGAGGAGTCTAGAGCGGCACTACAGGTCTGACCTTGAAGGGGAAGGTGATAGGTAGCTTCAGGCATTTGGCATGGAGAGAACCCGGACCTCAGCCAGGCCTGGCAATTGTAGGGGTGACAGTGGGAATGGTACCTTGTGAGCTGTCAGGTAACAATGGCAACACAGCCGAAACCGGTTTGGCTCAGTGGATAGAGCGTCGGCTTGCAGATTGGAAGGTCTTGGGTTCGATTCCAGTCAGGGGCATGTACCTTGGTTGCGGGCTCATTCCCAGTGGGGGGTGTGCAGGAGGCGGCTGATCAATGATTCTCTCTCATGGATGTTTCTAGCTCTCTATCCCTCTCTCTTCCTCTCTGTGAAAAATCAACTATATATACACACACACACACACACATATACACACAAAACAGTGGCAACACAGGGGTGACGAATGAAGGGCTGAAATGGGCTCGGTCTCCAGAGGCCCCGGGTTGGGATGAGAGGGGTAACGTTAGCAGGAAGTTAATAACTAACCTGTGTCCACAAGAGACTTAGATATTTGGGATTTTAGAGCTAGAAGAGACCTAGATTATCTAGTTCAACCTTGAGCAAAGTGACAGGCTCCAGGCCCCCTGGTGACTTGTTGACAGATCCAGGCCTAGATACCAAACCTAACATTTCCACCCGCACTGTCCCCTGCCTGCTCCAGTGACTGTCACCTGCCTGTCACAGTGACAGCGAGGGGCCAGCTTTTGCCAAGACAGGGCTTACATGAAATTACTTTCCAGGGACCTTTCTAGCCCAAAGACTCTAGAATTTGGGGCCTCTTTTCTGTAAATACTGCTCAAATGTTTAGCCCCCAGCAAAGAGCCAGGACTGTGTAAGGATTGAAGAGGGAGAATGAGAGACCGAAAGGTGGTTTGGTGGGATGGCATTGAAGGCATTTGGGTTCCCTGTGGTTGAGTTGAGGCTGAGATAGTCCTCATTTGTCCCCTCCAGGTCCCCGAGGTGGGTCTCTTTATTCATTTCCCCACAGGCGCCCCTGGAGCCATCTTCCAAACCAGCCCTTTAAGACAGTGCCAGTAGTGGTGGGTAAGGTGGGTAGCAACCAGCTGAAGATCTTATGTCCTGGCATGTGGTAGGCCCATGCCACCCCCCAACCCCCTCAGTGCTTCAGGAGGAAACAGAGAGACTCCCCAAAGAGAAGATGTCTGCTGTCAGGCACTCCTCCAACTCAAGTCAGCCCAGACCCATCTGGCCAGAACTAACTGGCCAACCCATCTGGTTGCCCCTGGGTCTGTGCCTCTTGGGCCCTAGATTCCTTGTCTTCCTACTCCCAGGTAATGTGCATGAGCATTTGGAACCAGAAAGTTTGGAGGGAACTGTGTCTTACCAGACAGAAACTGAGATGAGAGGAGAAAGGGGGTGCCTGAGGGGTTCCCAGGGAGCTAGTGACTAGGCCAGATTTCCCACCTCTTCTGCATCTGAGGATTTCTCTAGAACTGCGCTGCCTAATCCCATAGCCAAGCCACTGGGGCTGCTGAATACTTAAAAATGTGTCTGAATTGCAGTGTGCTCTAAGCGTAAAATAAGCATTGGATTTCAAGGGCTTCGTATGGAAAAGAGGATATAAGATGTCTCAATGTTTTTAATATAGATTACATATGAAGATGACAATGACTATCATGTAGGTTGATGTCACCGGTTTCTTTTTACCTTTTAAAATGTGGCTGCTGGCGCCGAAACCGGTTTGGCTCAGTGGATAGAGTGTCGGCCTGGGGACTCAAGGGTCATTTGGCATAGAGAGAACCCGGACCTCAGCCAGGCCTGGCAATTGTAGGGGTGACAGTGGGGAATGGTACCTTGTGAGTTGTCAGGTAACAATGGCAACACAGCCGAAACCAGTTTGGCTCAGTGGATAGAGCGTCGGCCTGCGGACTGGAAGGTCCCAGGTTCGATTCTGGTCAGGGGCATGTACCTTGGTTACGGGCACATCCCCTGTAGGGGGTGTGCAGGAGGCGGCTGATCAATGATTCTCTCTCATTGATGTTTCTAGCTCTCTATCCCTTTCTCTTCCTCTCTGTGAAAAATCAATAAAATATATAAAAAATAAAATAAAATAAAATGTGGCTGTTGGGGAATTTTAAATGACCTATATGACCTGAATTCTATTTCCTTTGGATAGTGCTGTTCTGGAGAGGAGGCCTTGGCCTCCCAGGAACCACCGGGAGGGAGTGCTGGGCAATTAGCTGGTGCACCTGGGCCCTTGGGCAGCCCTGGCCTTCATGCCTTTCCAGGCTTTGTATCTGGGTTGGAGGTCCCTCTCAGGAGAATGGGGAGCCTGCTTGGTGGTGGGGGTGGAGTACACAGAAAGGAAGGCCTCTCAGGGCCTTGCAATAGGTCATCAATAGGTCATCGTGTCTAGAAGTCCGGGGGAAGGCCTTCATGGGGAGAGAACAAAAATTACATTCCGTTTCTAATTAGGTGGTACGGCCTACTCCTGCGTCTTGTTGCCTGCTGGTTAGGACAAGAAAGGCTCTCTCAGCTCCCCACCCCAGGTTTTTCCGCTCCGTCCCAGGCAGGTGTGTCTTGTGGTGGGAATAGGTCGGCGCCCCAGGCCCACGGGCCCCGGAGCTCCGGGCTTCTCTGACGCCGCCACCACTGTCTTCCTGAGATTATATTTAGGTGCTGGTCTGGGGAAAAGGATGTGAGTTTTCCAGGATCCTGTTTATCCAGCAGACCCTCCCCTCCTCCCCTCCCCTCCCCTCCCCCACCACCCAGCTGTCTGTCCTCCGTCCAGACTGGAACTTCCCCTCACTTCCCTCCCGGCTCCGACGTGGGTGCCCAGGACCCAGAAAGAAGACAATGGTTGCCGTTGAATCCTGACACAGCCATCTATTAGCTGGCTGACAGCTAACATCTACGTAATTTTTCCACGTGTAGAGATAATGATGCTTTTCTTGCAAGAGATGCTGTGAAGTTCAAACGAGGTGGCGTGCGTAAAGCGCCTGGCATTCTGCCCGACAAGCGGTAGTCATTAAACAAGGGCTGGTGCTTTGAGGATCTCCGTCGGGCAGTGGCGAAGGCTGCTGCTCTGGGGATGCCGGGCGCAGGGAAGGGCCCAGCGGCACGTGATGTCTGTTGCCTTAAGGGGCACGGCTGTGGGAGGCGATGGTGCAGTCTCTCTTTTCTTTTTCCCCTGTGCTTGCATCTTCAGCCAAGTCCCAGCTCGGCTTAGAGGAATCCTCCTCCATGCTCACCTAAGCCGGGCCTCTCAGAGATCGTAGGAAACCAGAGACTTCGGAGTTTGGGTTTTTACAGCCTTATCTGAACCTCCAGTTTCCTTATTTGTAAGATGGGGGTAACAATGGACCTCCTCATAGCAGGGTGACGGCGCTTCGCTGAACTGAGGCAGCATTGTGTGAGGCAGGGAACCGCCGGGATCGCCATGGGGGGTAGCCAAGCTCAGTCATCGGCCCCGTCTGGACTGGGGACGGGGCGAGAGGCTCCACTGGGATAACGTTCCTCTTTCTCTCTGTGTCTGTCTGCAGCAGCAAGGTGGGACCCAGAGGCCCTGTGCTGAGCACCCATAACCCTCCGGGGGTACCCCCCCCAACATAGCACCCCCACCATGTTTAACCTAATGAAGAAGGACAAGGACAGGGATGGGGGGCGCAAGGAGAAGAAGGAGAAGAAGGAGAAGGAGCGGATGTCGGCGGCCGAGCTGAGGAGCCTGGAGGAGATGAGCCTGCGACGAGGCTTCTTCAACCTGAACCGCTCCTCCAAGCGGGAGTCCAAGGCGCGCCTGGAGATCTCCAACCCCATCCCCATCAAGGTGGCCAGCGGCTCCGACCTGCACCTCACCGACATCGACTCCGACAGCAACAGGGGCAGCGTCATCCTGGACTCGGGCCACCTCAGCACAGCCAGCTCCAGCGACGACCTCAAGGGCGAGGAGGGCGGCTTCCGGTGCTCCGTGCTGCAGCGCGCCGCCAAGTTCGGCTCCCTGGCCAAGCAGAACTCCCAGACGACCGTCAAGCGCTTCTCCTTCTCCCAGCGCAGCCGGGACGAGAGCGCCTCCGAGACCTCCACCCCCTCGGAGCACTCGGCGGCCCCGTCCCCGCAGGTGGAGGCGAGGACTCTGGAGGGACAGCTGGCGCAGCACCTTGGCCCGGGCCACCCTCGCCCGGGGCCCCGGCCCCAGGTCCCTGAGCTGGTGACGAAGAGGTTCCCGGCGGACCTGCGCCTGCCCCCCGTGGTGCCCCCGCCGCCCCCTGCCCTCCGGGAGCTGGAGCTGCAGCGGAGGCCCACCGGGGACTTCGGCTTCTCCCTGCGGCGCACCACCATGCTGGACCGCGGCCCCGACGGCCAGGTCTACCGGAGGGTGGTCCACTTCGCCGAGCCGGGTGCGGGCACCAAGGACCTGGCCCTGGGGCTGGTGCCGGGGGATCGCCTGGTGGAGATTAACGGGCACAACGTGGAGAGCAAGTCCCGGGACGAGATCGTGGAGATGATCCGGCAGTCGGGGGACAGCGTGCGGCTCAAGGTGCAGCCCATCCCGGAGCTCAGCGAGCTCAGCCGGAGCTGGCTGCGGAGCGGCGAGGGGCCCCGCAGGGAGCCGGCCGATGTGAGTGTTTCCCGTGGGGCCTGGGCCGCAAGGGGTGGGCAGGGACTGGGTTGCTGATGGCTGCCGTGGTGGTACTGAGGCGGGCGACTGGGGTACTCAGAGCCTAGCGGGTGTGTGAGTGGTGACGCCGGGCCACTCTGTGGGCTTCAGGGACCACCTCCTTGGCTGGTGGGGAGAAGGCACCTCAGGTGGGGGTTATATACATGGTCATACAAGCTTCATGATACAAGCGTGCGTTAGGGTTTGGGCACCGTATTTCCTGAGCCAGAAACTGAGCCATGGAGGCTAATGTGCCAGTTCCAGATGTGAGACACAGTCTTATATTCTGGATTAAAATATAGGATTTCCACGTTATTTAGATGTTGGAGGTGGAAAAAAAAAGATAAATTATTTCAAATCAGGGCTGTCCTGAGTCATCTAGGATGTTCAGCTGCTTCGGTAGCTCCTGGGAAGGTGACCTCAGGCCTCCTCTTGCCCCTGAGTGAGTGAGGAGCTGAATACCAGGTAAGGTTGCAGAGATAAGCAGGGGCCAAATCATGAAAGACCTTAAACCGTTGAACCCTATTGAAATGAGACCCCTGTAGTGTTTGAAGCAGGGGAGGAGCGATGATCTGGTTTACACAGAACCCTTGTGCTCCCAGAGTTTTACTATTACTTTTCCTGGAAGAAGGAAATGCATGGACCTGGAGCAGTAACAGGGGTTAAGCCCACAGAGATAGTATGACCTGATGATCCCTGAGACCCCTGTCCACACAAAGCAAAAGTGGGAGGGGGGGGTGACCTAGGCCCCGAAGAGATTTAGGTGAAAGGTATCCATCAGTTCAGCAAATAGCCTGTTTACTTCCCAAGGACCTACCCAGTTTAACTCCTGAAGAGATGGTCTCTAGGGAGATGGAGATCTGTAACCCCAGTGATCTTTCGATAGGTTGGCTACTTACCGGTCGAGAATGTTCTGCCTGGAGGCACCATCTGAAGGACAGGTTGGCCTCCGAGCAGCCCTCTCTCCAGCTGTGGCTTTTAGGGCTGTCCAGGTCCCTGGAGCCTGACCAGCACACGGCCTGGCCGGGACCTTTCCGCACTAAGTGACCAGCCAGATGTGTCTAAGTCAGAAGAGGGAGGAAATGCTGAGGAAACAGGCAGAGTCCCGGTCCTAGCTTTCTCCCGGGGAGGGGAAGTGGCTGCTCAGATGGCTGCTCAGCCCAACAGCAAGCCTATCGGGCCTGGAGGGCCTGGGAGCCGCAGGGTCAGCCTCGGGCAGGAAGCACTGGAGCTGGGTTCCAGACCTTCCTTTTCCCTGGGGCTGGTGGGGTCAGGCAGCTTTGTTAGTCAGGAAGGGGCAGTGAGTGGGAGGGCGCCTGTCGTGGAATCCAGGAAGGACCCAGATGCTTTAATTCCAGAAATACATTGAGCACCTTCTCTGTGTTAGCCACCAGGGAACTTCCCACAGCTTAGAGGGAGCTGTCTTTATCTCGGCACCTAACACCGTACCACGTTGCCATGTCTGCCTCCTTTCTCCCAGGCTAACCCTGCCTTCAACAGACAGAATATTCTTCCTCTTAAAGAATGAGTCCCCCAGGGGATTGCTGCCAGCTCCCCGCCGAACCACAGCACAGGCCGCCGTGGGGCTCAGGGCCTGGCATCACAGATGCTGCTCAGTTCTCTCTGTAGCTCAGGGATCGTCCTGGCATCTCATGTTTCCCAGCCGCTCTCCTTCCCAGCTAGCTGCTGCCGCCACCTCCCTGGGGAAGCGGGTGGTTTAGCTTTGGAATCCCCGGTGGATCCCGTCTCCCAGCTGGTAGCTCAGAAGGGCTGGCTCGCTCTGGCCCCGGGGGCAAGCCCAGCTGGTGCCCCGAGGACTTCCTCCCCCACAGCGGGGATCTCGCAGGGGACTCCATGGAGAGTCCCATCCTCATGAGTCTCCTAGGACTGACAGGACAACAAGGAGCAAAGGGCTGGAAGGAGCCCCATGTCTTTTCTTACCTGGGTAGTTGGTGGCGCCTCAGGCCACAACAGAGAGGAGCAGAATGAGCGTGGCATTCTGGTTTTCCGGGCAGAGCCCGGAGCTGGTGAGGGAGTGCTGTAGCCTCGACTGAGGCTCTTATCCTCTATCTCCTCTTCCTCCCACTCCTACTCCTGCTCCTTTTCTTGGCGGCAGTTCTAATCCTAGTTCCATGCCAAGAAAAGGGCCTTCCCACCTCCTCCATACTCCCGGGCGGGGCACCCTGACAACTCCAGCCCCACAGGGACAGCTCTGGTGGCCACCCTGCCCGTCAGGCCATCCATCAACCGTGTCCACACGTTGCCTGTCCCCAGAGCTCTGGAGGAGCTGGCTAGCCATCTGTTCTCTTTCTGCGCACAGACAGGGGCCAGGCCCCGTGGCTCCTGTCCATGGCCTGTTCAGAAGGCCCCGGGGAGAGACAGCCCCTTGGGTTTCCTTCTCACATGGTGTGTGTCCAGACCGCTTGGCTCACACCTTGTCCCTATGTCTCTGGAGCTGCCAGACAAGGCTCCACTGGAAGGAGGGGTGAGCCACAGGAGTAGGATAGACTTGGGGCCTGATAGAAATCACTCAGCAAGCCTGAGAGAAGCAGCCTTTCTTCCGCCATCTATTCCTCCGCTCATCTGTCTACCAAACAAACATTGGTTGAGCATTTACTGTGTGGCAGGTCCTGGGGCCCAGCAGTGTGCGGCACACAATCCCAGCCTCGAAGATGAAATCAAAGAAGGGTGTACACCCAGCCCCAAGGAACTCAAAGCCTAGTGGGAGATGGTCAGGTAGTAGGTGATGACATTACCATTTGAGAAGCTCAGTGATAGACCTGTACGGGCTGCAAGGGAGCACAGAAGAGGAACTTCAAGTACAGTCTTTGGAATGAATCAGAGGGAGAGAGCTGACATATAGGGGAGGCCAACGGGAGGACAAGACTGTATTAGTCACAAATCAGAGAGAGATTGACACATTTGGGGAATAAGGCTTGGGACAGCCTATGGGGACGCTATTGAGAGAAGCAGCAAGAGAGGCAAGCAGGGGTCAGTCAGGTCGCAAGGCCCCTGAGAGTCAGGCTAGGGAATGTAAACTTGAACCTGAGGACAATGTAGCCATTTAATCAGGGAGCGATGGGCACAGATTTTAGAAAATCTCCCGCTGTTTATGGAGAATGCGTTTGGGTGAAGCTAGGGGAGGATTGTGAGGGAGCTGTTATAGTAAACCTCGTAGAATGAATGGAGGCCTGAGCTTAGGTAGAGGCGATGGGGATGGAAAGAGGTTTCAGATGTCAGCAACGGAGGTAGGCTCTGGAGCAGCGATTCTCAACCTGTGGGTCGCAACCCCTTTGGAGGTCGAACGACTCTTTCACAGGGGGCCCCTAAGGCCATCGGAAAACACAGATATTTACATTACGATTCATTAACAGTAGCAAAATTACAGTTATGAAGTAGCAACGGAAATAATTTTATGGTTGGGGTCACCACAACATGAGGAACTGTATTAAAGGGTCGTGGCATTAGGAAGGTTGAGAACCACTGCTTTAGAGTCTTGGTGACCGGCTGGGGTGAGGGGAGGAGGAGGAGGAGGAGAGGAGAGGGTAAGTGTGACTACCAGGTATGGGGGAGGATGCTGAATTCTTTCCGTGGTTCTTCCGGAAAGAGTGTTTCGGGGGCATCTGTTTTGAGAAAATTATTCTTAACTTTTCAAAGAGTTCCCTGAGTCTGATGAGATTAAGGAAGGCGTTGGTAAAGAGGAGGATCTCAAAACCCCAGTTGGATCAGAATTCTTCTCTCCAGTTCCATGAGTCTGGGCAGGAAAGCCAGTGCCCACTGAGAAGGCGAGGAGGCCGGGTGGGGACTGCGGTCTGGGGGTAGGGAGGGCTGGTCCTTTCCATTTGTCTCCTCAGGAAGCCCATCGTGGGGCCCGGGTGGGTTGTCTGAGAACGTGCGATGGTTCTGCTGAGCTCGGAAAAGCCCACCTGGCTGACCCCTGGCCAGTGTGGTTGTTCTGCTGCTGCCAAGAGCCAGAGGAGCTGGCCTGCAAGGGAGCCCTACCCAGAAGGCACTGCTCCCGGAGTTTTTGAGGTTGTGGTTGGAGGGGAAGGAGGTGCCTGAAGGGAGGCCTACCACCCCTTCCCAGTCAGACCTAGTTTCCTGAGCCCCGCAGAGTGATCAGGCATTGGCTAGAGATCCGTGGTAGAGTTTTTCCTCCCATCGGACCTTGGGGTTTGTCCACAACCGTTACAGGGCTGTGAGGTTCCTTAAGAGGTCATCCTAACCATCCAAACCACCTCCACGTTCAGGAGAACCTAGGAGAGTGCATGGTATAGTGGAAAGAACATGGACTTTGGGACAAGAGAGATCTGTTTGAGTTTGACGGAAGTCACCAAACTTTTCTGAGCCTCCGTGTTCTCATTCCCTCGAACAGGCCCAGGCCCTGGGCACTGTGGGGTTACGTAAATAAAGTAGAATCTTCCCTTGAGGAAGCACAGACCTAACTAAAGAAAGGCAACTAAGCACCTTCATTGCTGCCATAGATGTCTGTCCAGGTAAACAGTGGGGTGGGAGGGAGGAAGTGGCGATTAGGAGAGAACGTCACCCTTCTTCTCTGTAAATGGGCCTTATTCTTGCCTCTCAGAATCGAAGATGATGGAATCAGAGAAGGATGCACACGCTGCAGCTCCTCTGAGAAGGAGGATAAAGGGACCCTTGTTTTTCACTGTGTGTGCTATACCTTACGGGTCTTTATTTATCTGTATGCATTTGGTGAGGTCACAGGCAGACTCTGGCAGGTCGTAAATGCTTCTGGAGATTAGTACCTTTCTCTCTGTCCAGTCTCTGAGGACATCAGGGAAAGTAATTTTGCAGCCTCCGTAATTAACCAATCCTAGTGTTCTCCCATCATGGCCCCTGGTAAGGTTTTCTTTCCAACAGGGACGCCTGATGCTTTTGTCCAAACTATTTCACTGTAGTTTTTGGTTTGTTTGTTTGTTTGTTTGTTTGTAGCCAGCTTA